AATCGGTGACTCCAAACTCCAAAGACAATTGTTTTCATAGTTAACACACTTATCTCTGACCGTAAAGATCTGCTGCTTAATTTTGTACTTTTATTAGTACTCTCGGTGCTATCACTTGTTATGTTAACAAATTTTAAAATTACTACTGAGTAATACCACAACTTGAGATTTGCACATCTAGAAATTTTGACTTGAAAGAAAAACCCTGTTAAATCAAATGTTAATCAGAATTCCTGAAACACTTAATTTGGATCCAGTAATTCCTCAGGATATGTATGCGCAGTTGTAGACAAAGTTAACGGTCTGAAATTACAATTTTATAAGATTTTGGCTGGTGTTGATTGGCATTAATATGTCTAGTTCACCTCTGAAGGCAGATTTAATAGAAAACAATGTGTAGCTAATGTAACTTAACTTTGGTGAAACTAACACTCTACAAAAAATACCCATTTTAGAAAACACAAAAGAAGCTTTTCTAAGTTTGGTGTAACTAATACTCCACAATTTATTTATTTTTTGAAAATACACATTTTTATGAAGAATACTGTAAAGATTTCACCATTAAAAGAGTTGAAAAAGGGTTCGCTCCACTTGCACAAATAACATGCAAAATTAATTGGTATGTCACTCTATTTCAGCAATGAGTCATATTGATAATCTGTAGTACCGTCTAAGCATATTCAGCATCTTTTCGAATAGCCATATTACTTAGATCTAATCTCGATGGGGAGAAGCACTACATTATTATCCTTGGGTTGTCATCCATCTTCTCATAGATGCCAAAAGACATTAGCTATCTATATGATGATTATATTAGAGACAGGTGCAATCATTAATAAGGCGGTTTCTTTTTACATTCCACAACATCGAGTGAAGTCACAAAATATTTACACGGTAGATTATCCTTTTGTATTATAATTTACAAATAATGTTTACATGCTCTTGAAATTATGGGGTGATAAATAAAATTAAATCGGAATCGTGTGCCTACGGGAAGACATTCGTACCGTGGGAAAAAGGAAACATCTCTCTCTCTCTCTCTCTCTCTCTCTCTCTCTCTCCTGCATCATTATATGCCAACTGTCTTAATCAGCACTCGTACATTTGTGTTAATAAACCCTCTACCTTAACAAGTCTTATTACCATGTTCATCGACTCACGTTGCTCGGGCCCAGTTGCACGAAACTATACTTCTTATTTTCCATAGTTAGCCCACTAATCGATGACTCCAAACTCCAAAGACAATTGTTTTCATAGTTAACGCACTTATCTCTGACCGTAAAGATGTCGTGCATAATTTTGTACTTTTATTAGTACTCTCGGGGCTATCACTTGTTATGTTAACAAAATTTAAAATTACTATTGAGTAATACCACAACTTGAGATTCGCACATCTAGAAATTTTGTCTTGAAAAACCCTGTTAAATCAAATGTTAATAAGAATTCCTGAAATACTTAATTTGGATACAGTAATTCCTCAGGATATGTATGCGCAATCATAGACAAAGTCAACGGTCTGAAATTGCAATTTTATAAGATTTTGGCCGGCCTTGATTGGCATTAATATGTCTAGTTCACCTCTGAAGGCAGATTTAATAGAAAACAATGTGTAGCTAATGTGACTTAACTTTGGTGAAATAACACTCTACAAAAAACATCTGTTTTAGAAAAAATAAAAGAAGCTTTTGTAAGTTTGGTGTAACTAACACTCCACAGTTTATTTATTTATTGGAAATACACATTTTTATGAAGAATACTGTGAAGATTTCACCATCAAAAGAGTTCACAAAGGGTTCGATCCACTTGCACAAACAACATGCAAAATTAACTCGTATGTCACTCTATTTCAATAACGAGTCATATTGATAATCTGTAGTACCATCTTAGCATATTCGGCTTCGAACAGCCATATTACTTATATCTAATCTCGATGGGGACAAGCACTATATTATTATCCTTGGGTTGATATCCATCTTCTCATAGATGCCAAAAGACGTTAGCTATCTATATGATGATTATTGATAGCCTACTAATCGGTGACTCCAAACTCTAAAGACAATTGTTTTCATAGTTAACACACTTATCTTTGACCGTAAAGATGTGGTGCTTCATTTTGTACTTTTATTAGTACTCTCGGTGGTATCACTTGTTATGTTAACAAAATTTAAAATTACTACTGAGTAATACCACAACTTGAGATTTGCACATCTAGAAATTTTGACTTGAAAACCCTGTTAAAATAAATGTTAATCAGATTTCCTGAAACACTTAATTTGGATCCAGTCATTCCTCGGGATATGTATGCGCAATCGTAGACAAAGTCAACGGTCTCAAATTGCAATTTTATAGGATTTTGGATGGCGTTGATTGGCATTAATATGTCTAGTTCACCTCTGAAGGCAGATTTAATAGAAAACAATGTGTAGCTAATGTAACTTAACTTTGGTGAAACTAACACTCTACAAAAAACATCCGTTTTAGAAAACATAAAAGAAGCTTTTGTAAGTTTGGTGTAACTAACACTCCACAATTTATTTATTGTTTGAAAATACACATTTTTACAAAGAATACTGTGAAGATTTCACCATCAAAAGAGTTGACAAAGGGTTCGTTCCACTTGCACAAACAACATGCAAAATTAAATGGTATGTCACTCTATCTCAGCAACGAGTCATATTGATAATCTGTAGTACCATCTTAGCATATTCGTCATCTTTTCGAATAGCCATATTACTTAGATCTAATCTCGATGGGAAGAAGCACTACATTATTATCCTTGGGTTGTTATCCATGTTCTCATAGATGCCAAAAGACGTTAGCTATCGATATGATGATTATATTAGAGACAGGTGCAATCATTAATAAGGCAGTTTCTTTTTACATTCCACAA